AAAAAAAAAAAAAAAGCAGAAAAAGGGAAAATTTTCAAAAAAACTTCTAATAATTGCTAGAAGACTAGAAAGATGCAGTTTACAACCTCCTAAACATTAGTTTTAGTATCTGAGTTATGCCACTTGGTGTGCAGATTGGAAAGGACAGCCTCCATTGTGGACTTAATGGTTGAATGTCAAGATTTGGAGCGATTTTCTGTCATTAATCGTTTTGCGAAGTTTCACATACGTCAAGCAGAACTCTCTGGAAATGTATCATCAAATGGATTAGTTACATTGGCACCAAAATCATGCCCCCAAAGATATGTAACTGCACACCCCATTCCCAGTCATCTTCCGGAGGGTGTACAATGCCTTTCCCTGTAGCAATAGTTAATTGGACCCTCACAACTAATTCCCTAGTCACATCGACATACAAACCATATCCTGCCCGTCTTTTTGTCTATGATCTCTGCATTGACATGATGTGGCACCGTAGAAGAAACAGGATACAAGAATAGATTCATATGGTGGAAGCTTTTGATAATTGAGGCCATCCATTCTTTTTCAAATCTAGGCCAAACCGTTGTTTATTTTGGTAAAGTACATAGTGTTATAATGTATCATGTAAATTTTCATGAATTTCCCAGGGGGAACAAGTTATTCTGAAGTGAACTCTTCAGAGAGGATGATGTTGGGTATGGTTATCGAATATTGCGTTTCCGATACGTAAATTAGAGAAACTAGCCTGCCAATTTATTGCTCTGTGTATTACTAGTCTTGTTTTTTGCAGTTTTTCTTCTACTGTATCACTTTTTCAGGTTTATTTTTAAGAAAAAGTTGAGGAAATCAGCATGGATGAAGTTGGCATCCTGAAGACCAAGCGAATATAACAGTGAAAAAGGTAAAAGTTCTGGTTTTAAAATCTAAAGTTCCCAACAAATGCGTATTTTTTCCTTTTAATTTATTTCTTTTTCATTGGTCACGTGTAAGCTTGTTCATTGATTGGGAATGACAGACATTGACTGTTTCCTAAGTGCCAAAAGAGAACACATTTATGAAGTAATATAGGACAAGAAGATATTCTTCTTGCATTCCTAATACATTATGATTTTTAAAGTTTCCTTTTTGTCGGAAGATTCTGTGGTTTGGTTGGTTGGCTGAAAGCAGGTATAGCTTGTTTTGTCAATGTCAGTATCTGGTTCAACTCATGATTGGGAAGATGATGTGAGAGAAAGCTGATATCATATCATTTTCAAAGACATTCTGAATAATAATGGGATTCATGAAACAAATCCAAAACCAAGTCTTTTTCTTTGCATATATTATAATAAATGTTCCAGCTTTGTGGGGGCTATTTGATTCTACGAGGATAAAGTTAGTGGATGAGTTTCCTTCAATGTTCTTTTCTTTCATGTTCAAGATTCCTTTGGACTAATTGTCCTGATTCTCTGGAGTTGGACCAGTTTTTGTTCAGTCACTGTAATGCGAACTGTTCTGATCTGCCACCATTTGATCTGACTTTGCTGTTTGATGATGCTGGCCTTCAGCGACTTTCTGACACCTTTTTTCACCTCTTAAGATTTCATTGTTTTTTTGAAAGGCTATTGACCCAAATGTAAAAATGATATACAATATGAATATGAAAAGTTTTTATAAGGACGTAGAAGTCTTTTTCTAGTAGACACGTTTTAAAATTGTGAGGTTGATGATGATACGTAACGGACTATAATGGACTATATTTGTTTGCGTTGGACTTGAGTTGTTATAAATGGTATCAGAGCTAGACATCGGGCAGTGTGCTAGCAAAGACGTTGACCCCAAAAGGAGAGGATTTTGAGATCTCGTCGGTTGAAGAGAGGAACGAAACAAACTTATAAGGGTGTGGAGATCCCAAGTGGGTAGGTAGTGGGATCTCACATCGGTTGGAGAGGGGAACGATCCCTAATAATTGTGAGGCTAATATCGTAATGGACCAAAGAGAACAATATCTGTTAGTGGTGGGTTTGAAGTAGTAATAATATTATTTATCTTATTACTGATCATTATTTTACAAAATCAACACTAAGAAACACAACTTTGTACAAGATTGAACAAACAAATCTTGTGTTTTAAGCCCTCATGCAAGCATGACAAATTTCATACAATTTCTTCACCCGATAGAATGGAACCTGGAAAAAAGTGAGCAAATTCAAACCTGGGATATAGAAATAACTGATATTGTCTACTTTGAGTATGACCTCTCATGTCCGTTCTTTTGATTTTTAAAAAATGTCTTATATCATTGGAGTTAATATACTTCACTTAATTAACTAACTAACGTGGGACTCAGTGGAGCAAAAAGTAGCATACTGATTACCATACCCATATAAAGACCAAGAAAACCTATGCTCAAAACCCCTGACCCAACAGAAGACTACTTCTTAACAAATCATAATTAGTAATTCTCTATTACTACGAAAGAGACTCCACTCATACTATCAATAACTTCTAACTCAAACACAATGTATCACATACTACTCCTTACACCTTCCGATCATGATGGTGTGGATAGGCATACGAAAACTAATCCTTGCCTATGTCATGATTTTTATTACATAAAAATATAATATAATTTTATATAATAATAAATAAAAAAATTTACTAAAAATTTGTTGAAGTATTAAAATCATAGATAGTTGAGTCAAAATTAGAATAAAAATTAAAAAATAAAAAACTTTAAAATTAGAGAGTAAACTGAATTAAAAAATAAAAAATAAAATGAAAAACCAGAAATCTAACAGGCCGAGCCCAAATGAAGCATCAACTAATATAAAAAGTTGCGGAAGCCCTATTTCTAAAGTTCTCCTCTTTAGCGCGATCATCTGCACTTGCTCAAGCATGGCGACGGCGAAGACTGTGAAGGACGTCTCTCCTCACGAATTCGTGAAAGCCTATGCGGCACATCTTAAGAGATCTGGAAAGGTATTGATTTTTCATCTCTACTTCACCTCTGTTGATTTGGTGGCTTACAGAAGTTGAATGTGGATTAAAGAGAGCATTTTAGGATGTAGATTTTGATCATGGAGTGAAGGCTAGGTTCGTTTCGGTGTAATTGCTCTGTTTTCAGCTTTTGCGGGCTAGTTTGGAGGTTTTAGGGTTTTAGTTGATCCTTATTTGTATGTGTTAGAGCCTTATTGTGCTTATGATTTATATGAGTAGCTTTTTTTATATGTTTGGTGAAGATTCCGTTGTTACTAGTCTAGGTGGTTGTGAAACACGCACGCTTTGAATATGTTGTTCTGGTTATTTGTATTTTGTTCTTACATGCCCTCGAGTACTTTTGAGATCTAATTAATTTTGTGACATGTTCTTCGTCTAAACAATTTCGTAATACGAGATTTTGAACTTTTTGGAATCTCCCTAGTTTTGTTATAAGATTTTAATTCCAATCCTCTAAATAGTTGACATACTTTCCCTGATGTGTTATCACTTTGTTGTACATAAAGTATTTCTTGTTCGAAATAATTCGACTAGGATTTGTTTTTAACTTGCTATTCAATCATTGCCAAGCAGGTTGAACTTCCTCCATGGACTGATATAGTTAAAACTGCAAGATTCAAAGAGCTTGCTCCTTATGACCCTGATTGGTATTATGTGAGAGCTGGTCAGTCCCCCCTCTTCTCGTCCATTTGTATTCCATGTATTCACTTGCAATAAAACCTACCAATATGAATTGCTGCTATCATGTATGTAACATCTTCCCTCACTGTCTCATGATTACTTTTTCAAACTTCTTTAGCCTCCATGGCTAGGAAAATCTATTTGAGGGGAGGTCTCGGTGTGGGGGCTTTTAAGAGGATTTATGGTGGAAGCAAGAGGAATGGAAGTCGCCCTCCACACTTCTGTGAGAGCAGTGGTGCTATTGCCCGTCACATTTTACAACAGTTGCAGGAAATGAATATTGTTGATGTCGATCCCAAGGGGTGAGTGCAAAATTCTATTGGGTTTTGCCCCTTACATCTGATATTCCAAGTTCAATGTCAATCGAACATATTTGATGTATTTTTCTCTCCGTATGTGTTACAGTGGTAGAAGAATCACATCAAGCGGCCGACGGGATCTTGACCAAGTTGCTGGCCGGATTGTTGTTGCCCCTTGATTGGTGAATAGAGATTTGTGCGGTTGCTGATGAGATACCACCATGAAAATTTTGGAGTAAGCTGTTGAAAGATATTCAGTTGAAGATAAGTTTAGTCTTGTTTTCGTGGGTTTTGGATGATTTAAACTTTATTTTCATTTACTTGGTCATGATTTATGGGTTTTCAGGATGAAATATGTTTTTCAATATTGTCAACAGTAACCTTGATATGCTTAGCATCAGACCTTTATAGTAATTTTTGTGATATCATATCTTAGAGTTTGTCCACTTGAATCTTCTCCACTGTTCGTAATTATATCGTTTGAATATGCTCATTTTAATCCGTAAGTTTCCAATAGAATTTTGTGTGTTATAGCTGATTGAATTAATCTCCATATTATATATAATATATAATATAGATCCGCTAATAAGAATTAACTTAAAAATTAAATAAAATTAAACCCAAAAGTATGCTTGATAAACGTGCACAACAAAATTTTGAAGTCTCAAGCAGTCCAATTAATTTTGGTTTTCAAATTAGGGTTTTGAGTTATAGGTTATAGGCTTTAAGTCTAACAAAACTAGGGAGAGAGGTGAGTTCTCATAATCCACTTTCCTTGGGGGACAACATCTTGACTCTAATACCATTTGTAACAGCCTTAGCCCACTACCTATAGATATTGTCCACTTTGACCCGTTATGTATTGATGTCTGACTCACAAGTTTTAAAATACATCTACTAGAAAGATATTTTCAACAACACGCTCCTAAGGAATGGTTTGTGTTCCTCTTAGAGACGAGATTTAACAAGATTTAACAAAGTCCAAGCACTAGTAATGTTTTAGGATAATAGAGAGTAAAAAAAAAATTTTGTTTTCCTTTAATATTAGGATACTAGAGAGAAAGCGGCATTTTGGACCGTCCTAAAATGCAATTCTAAGTTTTATTCAACTTTTGTTTCTTGCCCTCCCATTGCAATAAATCCTATTTGAAAAGGGCTGGTTGGTTGTCGAGTAAAAATCTTAAGATACTAAGAAGAGAGGGCTCTGGGCGGGCATATGTCTATAAGCAAGCAGCAACTATAATTGGTTGCTTCATTTGTAATACTATATCAGCTCTGCCAAAGAATACATCAGAAACAAATGGCCATCGAAATTAAAAGAGAGAAAGAGAACAGATATGTTTATGGGGGAACAACTATGTCACAAAATTTGAACAGACAATTGTTTGTTTCTCTACAAGCAACCTCTCCTCTTCTTCTTCCTTCATTGTTGTTGGAAGCTATAATGGCTCATCATATCATCAGTCCAAGACAAGCAGGATTTGATCTTCTTCTGCTGTGGGATATGGAACTTTGGTTCTCTGGGTAAAGTTGGAAGCTTTGCTGACCTTTACAAGAACAAAGCATTCATCTCAAGTTTCTCTCAAAAGAAATTGAAATTGAAACAACTTTTGTTCTGTACCTTTTAGGGATGAAGGGCCTATCAAAGTAAGGCATTGGCTGTGCCTTTGGAACCAATTCCTTTCTCAACCTCCTTACTTCTTCCTCCTCAGCCATCTGTTAGGTATCATAAATATCACCCCATTCATGTTTCAGATGCAGAAAACAAACAGACAAACTAACTAACATATATAAATTGATAGCCATTTCAACCTTTTGCTGTCTCTCTCTTTCCATCTTGTACTGCTCTAACAGTGTCAACTTCTTTGCTACCTTCATTATCAGAAAACAAACATGGATTTAATAATCTAACTTCTTTGCTACCTCCATACATAATACTTTCTACAATGATCAACAAAGGAGGATTTCTTTCCATTTTAAGAGATAAGATCGAAAAACCACCTGATGATCAAAATCGGCGCGTTCCACTGCCCTTACATCGCTGTGGAGAACCAGATCCACTGGTCTTGTATTTTCCTTCACAGGCGGTTTTACAAGACACTGCAAATGGAAATGCATACTTAGTTTTAAGCATGAGTGGCATTTACCGGGGTGAGGTACATTTCTGTAACAGCCCTGTCCCTAAGCCCACCACTAACAAATATTGTCCACCTTAGTTCGTTACGTATCATGATTTTAAAACGTGTCTGCTAGGGAGATGTTTCAACACCCTTGTAAGGAATGCTTCGTTTCCCTCGTTGGCACACCACTCGTTGCCTGGCTCTGATACCATTTGTAACAACTCAAGCCCACCACTAACAGATATCGCCATCAGCCTCATAGTTTTAACACGTGTCTGCTAGAGAGAGGTTTCTACACCCTTGTAAGGAATGCTTCGTTTCCTTCTTCAACCAAGGTGGGATCTCACAATTTCAACACATTAAAACGCTTGTATGGAGCAAAGGAAATTGAAGATGTTTACCTCTGGTTCATCAGTTGTCCATGGAAGACCTTGAGCAATTGGTATTCTCTGTCTCTCTTCCTCTATCATGCTTTCTTGTACCCTCTTCAGAAACTCTTCTTCCTTCTCCTTTCCTCTTTCCTACAAATTCAAAAGAAACAAAGAAGTAAACGTTATGAATATTGTAAGGTTAAGCTGGAATTTTTATGGTCTCCATTTCCATCTTCCTTACCTCTGTTCTGAGCTTAAATGGCTTTTGCCTAGTGATTTTCAGCTGCTTTTTCTTCCATCTACTTCCACCAATTGTGCCAGCCGATTCAGTGCTCTGTAAATCAAAACAATCATTAAAATTACCAATCAGATAACTCAACAGTTCATTGACAATCATCTTCTCAAAGACATCTTCGCTTACACTTCTTCTGCTTCTTCTACCACCATTGGAAGTCCTACTTGAAATGCTGCAATTGGAAAGAATACACCAAGAGTTAGACCATAAGAACCCAAGGGGATTCATTCTCCATCACAATGTGGTAAAATTAACTAAGCTACCAACCTTCCATGCGGTCCGTCCCAAGAAGACGAAACGGAAGCTTGAGGATCCAAACCAAGATTTTCCAATGTCAAAAGCAGCTCCGATGGGCAAAACAAAGAAGATGAAGCCTGCATTTCGGACACCTTCGGAGGAGCCAATCCTGGCAATGGCCATTTCATCACCTTGCTCTTCTCTTCCATGTGCTTCTCTTGGTTTTCTAATTGTTTCTCCTCATTATCATCGTTCTCTTTTGAAACCTTTGTAGTTCTGAGGTTCTCAAACGCCATTACCAAATTTTTTACTTTCCCAGATCCTCTTTCTATAATACTGTTCCTTCGCCTCTTCATCATTGAACTACTCATTTGTTCAGGCGATTCGCTCTCACCATTAACATCACGATTCTCTGATTCAGCCCTGTCTTCGATTTGAAGGTCTTGAATCATCAATTTCCTCTCCAGTTCTTCTTCAATTTCAATCTCAGCCCTAGTTGTCTCATTAATCTGCTCTGATTCATCGATTTCCCCAATTCCACCGCTCTGATTCTTGAAAAATTCCTCCTGAGAAGCCCTCAGAGTATCGTACGCCATACACAGACATTTCTTCGCACCACTCCCAATTTGAACTTCACACTTACAATCAGTCTTAGATCTCCCTGATTTCTCCTTCTTCAAATTCTTCTTGGCCACCACGAACTTCCTCTCCCTGATCTTGTATTTCGGAGAGTTCATAACCGCCTTGGGGTTTTTCGCGGCCGATTTCTGAGTCGCCTTTGCAGATTTGACGGAGGGAGAGGATTTCGCGTGCTTCGGAACTGGGCTAATCGAATCGTTGAAATTCGGATTCGTATTCTCAGAATGCCTCGGAACTTCTTGAATCATCTTCGATCTAGAGCCACATGAGTCTTTCACAGGCGTCACTGTTCCACCGTTCTTGCCGATCGGACCCATTTGCCTGAAACTAAAATACAGATAAAGAAAAATTGGTAACACAATTCGCCGCCGCCGCCGGATAGTTGAGTTGGATTCGATCGTCTTCGGAACCGAAAGGGAATTGAATTGAAAGGATATATTCGAGAAGAAGAGGAAAAATGGAACGTTGAGCACAAAACGCTCTGTGTAACGGCTAGTATTTGTGGGCCGTCTGATCGAAAGTTTTGAAATTGCGTTCGGCTCTCAAAACCGTTGGATTAACCCTAGTGGAGCTTGGTCTGAATGGATTTAACTTACACTACTACCAACCGTTGTGGCTGGGCTACTTGTGATACAAAAAGAGGCCCAAAGATGGTAGGTTATTACGATTTTACCCATAGCTTTACGAAATTGCATTTTTATTAATTTATAAATATTATAGGTTTGGTATTAGACAACGGGAACTCAAACACCATATTCATTATTCGTCTGGCTTTGTGGCTTAGTTGTACCTTAGGCGAGCAATCAAACAGCGCTTGTGCAGAATCCAAGCTTGTTTGACCACACATGTTGCTTGTGTGGTGTCTTATCTCGTTTATGTCTTGACTTCTTTTCAATGGTCACTCTATATGGTGTGTTAGATGATGCATCATTCTTATTGGCTATATCATGGCACTCGTCTAGGCCTTCACATGGTCGAATGAGCGCCATTTGAGGGTCGTTGCTTCTCTTGTCGCAACGTGAAAGTTATAACTTACTCTCTTCATAATTAGGGTGTGACACCGAACAAACCGTGTATCTAATCATCAATATCTAGAAATTAAAATTACTATGAGTTAAATATATATATATATATCAATTTTTTAAAGTTGCAATTTTATTTTATTTTATTTTTGTTGGAAAATATATTTTTCAACCAATCAAATTTAGCATTTAGTGGTTTAAAGTATAAAATAAAAAGTCAATTCATAAGATTTTGGTCAAATCCTCATTAAAAGTAAAAACAAAAGTTTATCAAAATCGAAGCCCCTTTACTTAGCTTTCTTACACATCCGTCGTGGTGGCTCTCTCATCTTCTTCTTCAGCTCCAAGCCCAAACCCTTGAAAGCTTCGATCTTGAAGCCTCTAATGGCTTCACGTCACTATCCTCATCAACCCCACCTCCACCTTCACCGAACCCATCTTCCCTCCGCCTGTTGCTGCGGCTGCGAAGGCGGCGATTTCGCCAATCCCTGCTTCCAAACCCTCCACCCCTCTCCTCCTCCGCCGTCTCCCTCCGACCCCCTTCTCCAAGCTCTTGCTTCTCAAATCCTTCAATCGGCTCAATTCCAGCACTTGTCTCACTACCCAACGCTTCGTACCAAGAAATTTCAATCACACTACCAATTTCAACCCCTCGGTTCCCAAAATCCGAAGCGCGTTCGTGAGCAAGAGCTCCCCCAAGTCATCCACCACTCTACTATCTCCTCTCTTGTCTCTCGCATCGAAGCCCTCGAATCCTCTCTCCATCGAGTT